TAAATAAATAAATAAATAAATAAATAAATACACATAGCCATATTCCCCTGGAAAAGTTTAAACATATCCTCAAGGATATGCTTCTCCCAGTTTGAAGACTGTTACATGGTTAGGAAGGACTTTCTACTTAAAATTAATGAATTGATATATGCTTCTTGCTCTAGGTCTACTCCACTGTCTTTCAGTTCTATCTGGAGTACCTAGAACAGGATAAATTCATCTTCCATTGATGAAACCCTAAACATCAGAAGATGCTATGATGAACTGCATCTCTAGGGTTGACATTCTGACTTCAGTGATTATTCATTACCTTGCTTTTAGTTCCTTCACCCTACTAGTCATCTTCACATAAAGGATACTAAATCTGCCAAAATTTTCTAAATTTTGTTGTCCAAATAATACAATGTTTCTATTGACAAAGATAAAGTGTCAATCTTAGTGACATTCTTTGTAATGTAAAAATGTACTACATATTGAATGCTTGCTAGATGTTCAGTAATTAAAATAGTGCCACAAAGATTCTATAATTATTTTTACTGTCATCATCATCACCATTTAACTAGAGAAAATTCAAGATCTTCATTCAGAGTCTCACTTATTCATTAGTGACTGGTGGACACAGCAGTTGATTTAACAGTAATATTACAACATTTGGCATATCTCTGTGGGTATACAGGCACCCAGAGCAGATGGGATAATAAGTTTAGGCAAAATGTCAGAATCAGCTGCACATTCTCTGGAAGAGTTCTTGTAAATCTATGAGGACCTGGAATGTGTAGTGCTATACGTGGTCCATAATGAGCTGCCAAAGTGACCTGGCATAGTGCAGTGGTTTCCAAACTAGACTTTGTTCAGTCCAAGGGAGTTAGTGGAGGTCCTATACCTTGATACTASAGAGAGAGGGGAACCTAAGTAATGGAGTCTTCCTATTTTCCTTCCTCTACTTGAAACAAACATCTCTGCCTTTTTCTAGCATTACTTAGTTCCCCAATCAGAAACAGACAGACATCCATATAAAATAAAAACGAAACTAGAGTTGAGACACACACATACAAACAGAGAGAGAGAGAGAGAGAGAGAGAGAGAGAGAGAGAGAGAGAGAGAGAGACCTAGGCATGAACAGAATACTAACTTTGGAATCAGTTTCTCTGGATTTGATTCTAGTAATAGAATTATTAATATACTTATTATTTGGAGACTCAGGCATTGTCTTTAAACATCCCAAATATTAATTTCCTTGTACATAGTGATACACACAAAGATTTTTGTTGAACAAACAAGCAAACGAATGAATCAATGCATAATTTTATATTTTGGTAAAAATAACCTTGTAATGTTGTAGTGAGGATCAAGGCTAATATAGAAAGAGTTTAATACAGCTTGTCACATAGTGGTTTGCAAATAATGATAATAACTATTTTGTTGTTATGGATTCAGTGCTTCTTTAATTGATGTACAAGTGCCTACGTGATACTTCTCACTAGGCTAGACAGAGATCCTTGCTAAACTTAGGAGCAAGTTTTATATGCAGCTGAATATTTGGAACATGCCAAAGTCCAGAGAATCTGTTTCACAAGGGAGAATTCTGGGAATCTCAGAAGCTTCTTGATTTTCCACTCTTTTAAAAAATTTGTTATATGTTCTTTTTAGATATACATGACATTGGGTTGTATTTGGCATATTATACATACATGGAATATAACTTATTCTAATTAGAATCCTATTCTTGTGGTTCTACATGATGTAGAGTAACCCTGGTCATGTACTCAAATACAAGGCTAGGAAAGTAAGGTCCAATTAATTCTACTGTCCTTCCTATTCCTCTCTCCCTTCCTTTTCCTTCATTCTCCTTTGTCTAATCCATTGGACTTATATTATTTCCTTCCCTACCCGCTCTTGTTGTGGGTTAGCATTCACATATCAGAAAAAAAATATTCAGCCTTTGTTTTGGGGGACTGGTTTATTTAACTTAGCACTATATTCTCCAGTTCCATCCATTTACTGGTGAATGATATAATTTCATTCTTCGTTATGGCTGAGTAATACTCTATTGTGTATATATTCCACAGTTTATTTATCTATTCACCTGTTGGTTTTCCACTCTGAAGGAGTCTGGCTTGGGTAGTTTAATCACTAAAATAATAGTAAGCTATTGTTTAGAAGAAGCTTTGCCGTTGGGCCAAGTGTACCAAAAACATATGGCAACTGAGCAGGATCAAAATTCTGTAGCCCACGAGGTGTTTATATTTGCCCTTGCTATTCCTTAGACTTGACTCATGTTATCCAGTGACATTGAAGTCTATGTATTTAGCACATTTGTCCTTTGCATAAGAATAAATTATCTATCTACAAGCTTTTTTTTCTGAAAGAGAAGAGGGGGGAATTTGTTGGGCTTTCGACTTGAAARTTTATGTTTTTCATCTACCTAAATCATTTTCAGTTAAATACCGTTGTCTTGTGTATCAGATTCATTCTGCTGTAGAATGTTAAGTTCCCTAGGGTAAGACCTTGTCTTTTCATAAGTTATGTAAAATGGCACAGACACTTTTAGCATTCCTGGTGTAACAGGCCATTCTCATTTGTAATAAAAGAATAAGAACCCTGGCAGCTACATGACATATTTGCCATAAGAATCCCATCACATATGTATGATGATCCCATCGTAACATATTTTAAAGGTATGTTTCCCTCTAGGAAAACTGAATAATATCTCCAAATCTAGAAAACAGACCAGTGAGAGTTAATTCTAATTATATAAAGAGTTTTTGCTTTACAAGACAACTTTCTTTTTTTTCCCCTCTACTAAAGAGTCTCTTTAAATAGCCAGATCTCTTTTTGGAGTATTCAAAATTGGATTTGCTTTACAAAACGTTGATTAGATTCAACTTTTCAGGAGYAATGACAGTGTGCAAAAATGGGACATTGCCTGTCAGATGTCAATGGCAAAATCTCACTTAGTGATCACAGTGAAACAAACAGGAAAAAAAAAAAAGACTCACCATTCCCCGGGCCCACCAGGTTATAATGCCCAAATGTGGAAAATAGCTTTTATAGGCGTCAGATGCCCTCATTCCAGGAAGGATGGCTATGCTAGCTAGCACTGGGGTCATTGACCATTGGTAACAGCTTGACTTTGGCAGCCAAGGGCATCAATATGAGGTCTGAAGCAATTATACATTATTCATATACAGCATGTACTGAATTCTTAGCTTAAACAGAAATACTTTTTATTGAGACAATTAGGAAGGTAAAGCTGATCACTTTTTTTTTTTCATTGCTGGGAATAGAATCCAGGGCCTCATAAATACTAAGAAAGCACTCCAACACTGAGCTACTCCCCCAGCCCCGATGACTTTTGTTAAAAAATGAAAACAGTGTTTTGGGGAGATATATTTTTCTTCTTTCACATATAAGTTATGAGAAAAAGAGGAAAAAAAAGAATTTGGAGTAGGACTAGGTAGGAACACAAGGTCTGAAGGAAGGACCCTCTCATATTAGAAAATTTCCACCCATGTAAGACCCCCTCTTTATAAGCACAATAAATACAAGCAGATAAGTAAGCATTAGTCATTAATGCTAGCTCTCATTTCTGATAYATAGCAGGAAATATCAATGTATACTGCCTTGTTCAATTTTTCAAGTAAGTACTATACAGGCACTTTGTTAGACTCAAAGACAGAAAGAAAACAAGACAAGGAGAGAATAAATACATGCCATTTAATRAGGCATCTGATTGCCTTCAAAGATCATACAATGTCTTTAGGCAATGTTCCCAACTAGCTTTTCCAATAAAAACAAACAAAACAAGCTCCATTTCAAAGATAGCAAATATAACTAAATACACCATTTACGTTTTATTTCAAGGGTGCTAACTCCTTGAAAAGGGTCACTAGTCTTGGACAAAATTTAGGCAAGCTGCTGAGAACCCCTCTAGAAGTTCTGTCCATTTTGCTGAAAGACTATTTATACTTTTACAGCAAATGCATCAAACACTTGAACAAAAATTAGGGTCAATGGGGTTGGGGTTGGGGTTGTGGCTCAGTGGTAGTGCACTTGTCTTGCATGTGTGGGGCACTGGGTTCAGCCCTCAACACCACATAAATAAATAAAATAAAGATATTGTGCCTATCTACAACTTAAAAATGTCAGAAAAAATTAGGGTCAGTGAAGGAGTATTTGATGAGAGGTAAGACACTCAGAATTTTCATAGGGTATTAATTTCTGCAGTCCTCTGAATAACTTCATCCCCTTGCCTCATAAAGCTGTGTATGCTTCTCATGAATGTGTACAGTGTCCGAATAGACCTGGTGTTTAATATACTGAATTGGTCTTGTACCTGAAGATGAAAGTGTAAAGGAGGACAAGGATGGGAGGATCATGAATTGGATGGAATGAAAGATAAGCTGGAGACTGGTGGAGAAGAAAATAGTTAATTTGGATTGTTTGATTCATGTTTAGGTTTATATTTCAGTTTTTGCCACACTTGCATTGACAAACATCCCTGCCATCTCTCTAATGCATGCAGTTTATGTTCAGAACCAGGGGCAGCACAGACAAGAAGTGTGGGCAAGAACGACCCTAATCTGTCACCGGATAGAAAATCTGATTTGTGCCCCTCAGAGAGAAGGTTCTCTAGGGTGCAATAAAGKAAACATAAAATAAAATAAATTAAAATAAAACAAAATAAATGTATTCTTGGGACCATCTGGGSAAAGAGTTGAGGATGAAGAATACGACAGCTGAAGAACCAAAGCGGCAACCTTTCCTAGGCAAGGGAGTGCGGGAGGTGGGTTGCTGGCAGGGTGGGGGTGAGGTTACCTCTGGTAGCCCCTGGGCAGAAAAGCAGGGAACTGGGAACATATGGGGCGGAGACTCTTTATGCCAGGGTAAAGTATTGGGGTATAAGGGTGGGTGGGGGCCTGAGGGGTGGYTTAGAGCCCTGGCGGTGACTGCCTGACGTCACCGGACTCTCTGGCAATAGGCTGGGAGCTGAGCTCCCTGAAGCAGCGGCGAAGGCGGCGGCAGCGGCATCGCGGCTCGGTCTCTGGCCCCTTCACTCTGCGCGTTCTGCAGCCGCCACTGCAGCCGCGCAGCKGGGGCTCCCTCCCAATAGCCAGCTGGTGGCTCCAGGTAAGAGACACTGGGCGGCTGAAGACTGGGGATGACSGGGCGGCCCGGCGGTTGGGTGCGAGCGGGGAAGAGGACAGCTCCCGCGGCCTGCGCAGGCACCCCTGCCTATAGCTTTGACCCCTACTCCTGCCCCTGCCGGGGCTTGCGCGTCTCCTGGGTGCTCCGCAGTGCAACAGTTTGCAGCTGCCTCTAGGGAGCTTCAAGGAGGCTGTGTTACGTGCTGCGGCTCTACCCTCTACCTGGCTTGGTCCCCAGGAACAATCTCGGGGCCCACGGACTGGGTCTGGGAAGACCAGAGAGAAGGTCCGTTTTCCAAACTTTGCAGGAGGGAACCCTCCCCATTCCAGTTCCAGCTCCTCTAGAAAGAAGCTGAATACTCTGTGTGTGTGTGTGTGTGTGTGTGTGTGTGTGTGTGTGTGTGTGTGGTGGGTTGCAGGGAGATGGGAAGGAAGGGGGCGTTTGCGGAGATGTGTTTCAGCGGAGAAAGGTGCTTCAGCTGCTCCCCCCTCCTTTTTTTTTGGTAGGTGGGTACTTGGGGGCGGGGGTGCCAGGGAAGAAGGTTGGAGAAAGAACTGGGCACGATTCTGGCATTAACCACCGCTGTGGATATAGGCTGAGCGAGATACGATGCCAGGGGTGCCCCCTTGGGAATGGGACCTTAGGGATCTAACACTGTCTGAGGACGAAGAGTGGGGGGGGGGGCGGAGGGAGGACCGCATACCGCGAACCCACCCAGTGGTCCGGAGTGGGTGCTGGAGAGGGTAGGATCCMGGCGAACATGTCCACAAAGAAGAGGGCGCAGGGAAGAAGAGAGACAATGCTTTGGGAAGTAGGAAACGCCATCTGAGGCGACTGCTGTCAGTTGCAATTAGAAAGTTGTGGAGGGCGCAGGGAGACTGCCTTATCTGCTGAGTAATCTGCACCTCGGTCCTGCTGGCTTGTACACCTTCCCAGAGATCGGAGGAGCAAGCCGGCTGGCAACTGGCTGCTCTGGAGTGCTGCTAGGAGTGGTAGGGTTGGGGTCCGCGGGTTACGGAGTAGACCAACAGCGCCCAATTAAGGCAGCGTGTCCAGAGGGCCGCTTTGCGGTGGTGGCTGATCCTTCTCTTTCTCCGCACTCCCTTTGGCAGCCTCTGGGACCCTAACTAAGCCTGTTCTCTTTGCAGCCCGGTGCCTCAGCGAAGGAAAAGGGCGAGTGGARACACGTTCAAGGCGGGACCGGAGAGGATTTCCCCGGCGCCGCTCACTCACTGGTCGGCTTGCTTGCCATCAGTCGCTCCCTCAGTCCTTGGTCGGTGTGCGCACTCCCTCCGGCACCAGGGAGTAGTTTTGGGTGGCGTGGGCTCGTTCCTCTTCTTGGCTGGTGGGAACAGAGTGTTGAAGAGAGGAAGCTTGGTGGGCCTGGCCCCTCCCAGCCCAGCGCCGATGAGTGCCCGGGCTCCAAAGGAGTTGAGGCTGGCGCTGCCGCCGTGTCTCCTCAACCGGACTTTTGCTTCCCCCAACGCTAGCGGCAGCGGCAACACAGGTGCCCGCGGCCCGGGTGCAGGCGGCGGCGGCAGTGGTACCTGCATCACGCAGGTGGGACAGCAGCTCTTCCAGTCATTCTCCTCCACGCTGGTGCTGATTGTCCTGGTCACTCTCATCTTTTGCCTCATCGTGCTGTCCCTGTCCACCTTCCACATCCACAAGCGTAGGATGAAGAAGCGGAAGATGCAGAGGGCTCAGGAGGAATACGAGAGGGATCATTGCAGCGGCAACCGCGGTGGAGGGGGGCTGTCCCGGGCAGGTAGTCAGGCCCAAAACCATGGAAAAGAAAACAGGCTGGAGAGGCAGTCCCGGGACTCTGCCTTCTGCGCCCCCTCCAACTTCTCCGGTTCCTCCTCCTCTTCATCCCCTGGTCTTCCAAGCCAGGGTCCCTGTGCTCCTCCGCCTCCACCGCCAGCCCCCAGTCCACAAGGAGCACACGCAGCCTCCTCCTGTTTGGACACAGCTGGCGAGGGCCTTTTGCAGACGGTGGTACTGTCCTGATTGTGTAGCCCCTCTCCTCACCCCTTTCTCGTTTCCACCATCTTTACCATCCTTGCTTTTTCTCCCCCCTTCCTTCCTTTTCCATTTTCCTGTACCCCTTCTTTCCTCTTCCTTCTTTCCCTGCCCTCCCTTTTACTATGTTTCTCCTCCGCCGAGGCACTGTGCGGTATTTGTAAATATTGGGCGAGGAAAGTCTCGGAAGAAGAAATAACGCTGATAAATCTTTATTAATATTTACAGTTATTATTATTATATTACTAACAACACAATCCAAGCGCATGACAAATCACATACTTTCTCATTGTCAATGAAAGATGCATCTTCCCTCTCCACTCCGTGTCCCCCTCAATAAGGAGGAGAAACCGCACAAGCTACCAAATACATAAAAGGCATTGCCACCAGGAGCAAAGGGAGGGGAGGGGGCCGGTAATGTTGTATATAGCTGTCAAGTTAAAGGTTTAGTTACCTTTCTTCCCCTTCACCCCCCCCCCAGCTTTCACTTTTCCTTTAGCTTTTCTCCACTCCCCTTTTCTCACCCTAAGCTGGGCTCAGGCAATAGTATATTATTTTTTAAAAAAGTCTACATTTAGCACCAAGACTACAACGAGGCCACAGAGAAAGTCCCAGAAAAACGTTTTAGGACAGGTAACCCTCTCCAGTCAGCCATCTTCTCATTCTTTGGCTAACCATTGCCTTTTCCAGGACAGAACATTTAATTTACTTTTAGAAATGTCTCTCGCTGGCCGAGCATAAGTACATTGCAATCTTTAAGTGAGTTAAAAACAAAAAACAAAAGATCTGCTTTAGATCTGTGCCCCACCACACTTGTACACCTTTGACTTGTGGCATTTTCAGGAGTCAGAGGATAGGGAGCTGTCCGTCCAGGTCTGGTGCTGAAATCGCCTCACCATAATGGTTACTTCCTCTGATTGAGCAGGCGGAGGAGGGGCTGTTTTGGAAAGTGATTGTACTGGCTTTTGGTTGGCTTCTTTCTTCTTTTTCTACAATCGGGTTAGCGTGTACTATTAATTTTCTTATTATTAAATGTTGCATAAGTTCCTCTCTTTTTTTTTTGTAAAAAGAAAAAGTATTTGGTGATGTGCAGTACTGAAAGTGCAGTATCTAACCAACCAGAATGTTTGTTTTATTTTTAGAGCAAGTGCACCTTTGTTATATATTTACTATATTGGTACCAAATACAGAAAAAAACTATAGTTCTGTACTATGTCCTCCAAACTGTATATTCTTGTTCTTACTTTCCAGCTGTTGATATAATGGTTACCACTGGATGAGGAATTCAGTGGGACAGGCCTGGCTTCTGCTGTTTCCAGAAGTGTTCTTTTGTACCTTACTCTGTAGTAGACTGTTATAAAAATATGACACATGTTTCCCTTTTTCTTTTGTGAATAACAGAAACAACCACAGMAACAGAAAACAAATAATGGATGTGCAGGAATGCCATCTATTAAAACATGGTTAATATATAAACAGTGCCTGTAGTTCTCGCTGCATGCAGTTACCACCTGGAGGCAGTGGTGTGTGTGCTTGCTTGTACTGTGTGTGTTTGGGGGTAAGACTGGTGGGGATGTTGGGCAATTTGAATGACAGGACATGCAAATTTCAAGAGAAGTTAAATCAATACATACTTATAGGATAAAAAATGTTTACAGCTCGTTTGTTAAAAATYTGTGCCTGCATCTGAGAAACAGCAAAGGAGGGACTCTCCTCTTTCTGAATCTGACTTAGCTAACTTTACTTTATCAGGAAAAAATATTGAATAGAAAAGAAAGTTGAAGAAGATAAATATTTTTTTCCCTCTCCTAATGCCAGACAAGCCCATCTGTGTTAGAAATGGAGTCTGGCTGTGGTTATATGCCACTTTGTTTCCCTTCAGTGGATGATAGAAGGGGCCATAAGCATATTACAATCTTAATTATATGCAGTGGCATCTCTTCCTGGAAACTAATTCTTTGATGGTTATTCAAATATTTGGAAAATGTACAAATGAGAATGATCTACAAAAAGCTTCACCAAAAATATCATTACTATCCTGCTGGATGAAAGGCAACAGTGCCCCTAAGTGTATTCCTCTCCCAAGTAACTAGTTGTTCTAGATTTTATGTCTTGATTCTAGGCATATATGATCTTACCAAGAGAAAAAATATTACCTTTGATGTTTTTGGTCATCTCCTGAATTGCCCAAACTCAATCTGCATCTTTTACAAAAATAATTTCATAAGCTTAATTTAAAGCACCCATTATTCCCTCAAGTCCTTTCCTGAGGCACACAAGATCATCATTTAAGCATGACATATTGGAAATATTAGGAAGATCAGGTCTCATCTTTGAATACAATGTATTACACAATGAACCAGATCCTCTCTAGTGCCTTAGTCACTTCTTAGTAATAGTTAAAAGAATGCATTAACACTCTCAGGCCACTAGGGAATCTGTTAGTGCATCAGAGCTCTACATTGTACACCAGAATGACTAAGGCACTGTGAAGAAGATAGTCCATTAATTTTTGTAGCTCACCCTCATCCAGCTGTAGTTCTTTAATACCTTATTACAGAAAGACTTTTGGACTTGAAATTGGAATAGAATCAGGAACCCAGAAGGGAGCTTCCTCATTTCCAATGAGCTATACTAAAGTGTATGAATATTACTTTCTTCCCTTTATTTGGTGCACTTTTTACAGTGAATAATTTCCCATTTTATTAAAGCAATAAGATATTCTGTTATGAACAGTTCTAGATGATGATTCCATTTCCTTGGTGCTGAAGCTACTCATGTGTTCTGGCCTTATGAATCATAGTGCATTTAAGGCATGCAATAATAATCCTCTTTAAAGGAGCAGACTGTACACCCTGGGGGGGTAATGTCCTATATAAATTTTTTCCCAAAGGAATAAGGGGATCAAGAGAAATAAAATAATCATATTTATTGTTAAAATATCTTTATACCTCTAAACATGGGAAAATATCTGCAATATGCTTTTATTGTGCACCTTTAAATATGCCTTTCTCCATTAATTGACTATGGTTTGATACTCTTAATAGTATCCTGTGTAAAGATGATGCAGTCTGGTGATAGTCAAATTTTGTACTGAGTTTAATATGTTCAGAACCCTAAACTTCTGGTGGTGTCACATGATATAGTATGGGATAGAAAGAGAATTATAYGAAATTCTAGTAAGTCAGTCCCCATACAAATTATTACAATAAGCACATATTCAAGCAATTTGTATTGACCTGTTCAAAAGCATTGCTTCTTATAAAGCTCAATTGACAGTCCCAGGAGTTTGGGAGGCTACCAATAGGGCATTTTAGGATTCACTTATATAAAACAAAAGGTAATTTGGAAATAGTTAAAGTTATTTTAAGTGTTTATTTACTGATGTCCCGTCATACTAATTGCTTCAACCCCTATAGCTACAGCTCGACTTCTGCACTTGCTATTCAGTATTAATAAGGTGGCATGCTTGATTCTTATTGTTTTTAAAATGAGAAAATTGGAGAAAGAATGCCATTATGTCAACTGTATGGAACTCTGAATCTTAAAGACATAGATGGATATAATCTTTAGAATTTATATACACCCATAGATATGTATTTATATATGCATACATTTTGTACAAATTTACAATGGACTTTTGTATTCTCTTTTCTGTCATTACAAGAATGAGATGGAAACCAAATAGTTGTTCCATCCTCTTATCCAGAGAGGATACTGAGAAGTCAGGTATATGCATGCACTTATTTCTCTGGAGTCGAATCTGAAAGACTTTCTCTTTATTTAATGAAAGGGAAGAGTCTTGATTGGCTCAGGAAATTGGTAATTAGATAAGCTTCCTTTCCTATGTTAGTGACTCAAATGTAGCAATGATAATGAAGGTATGACCATATCAATGCAGTGCAACTATCTAGGTGGAATGCAGAATTATCCAGAAGAGGCTTACAGCCATCTAGACCACAAATCTGGATTGTGGTTTGATTTTTCCTTTTCAACCTAAATGTTGTATGAAATATAACTTACATAAGCATAACTAAAGGTAAAGTAAAAATATGACAATTATTTGTTTAGTTTGATAGTTTTTGGAAGATATGGACCAATTAGCTTAAAAAATTTTGTTTGGCATCTGACTTTTCTGCCATTTCTGTATCAACTGAATTAATTAGATAATGGTTAAAATTAATTTTTCCAATGYGCAGACATTTGCTTTATATGCTTTTCTGTGGATGATAGCTAAGCAATTTCTCGCTGATATTATGTGAAATTTATGAACTAAATTAGAGCCAAAACCTTTAATATAATCTGGTTAGCCTCCTTGAGTCCATTCCCATGTGAATCAGGACTTTGAATTTGAATCTGAAAAGCCACTTATTCTGTTTAGAACTAGTCATTGTGGCTCACGGATGTTTCAGTTTATATAAGAATGAATTACTCTAAATGAGGGAATTTCATCATTGGACTGAACATAAATCTGATTCTAACTTGGGTTTTAAATTTATTTGGTAACATCTGAGAAGCAGCTTATATGGCTTGATATCAGTACTTATTAATGTCACCAACCTAATAATAATACAATTGGTGCCATGTAGGAATGCTTAGCTGAGAATAAGAGTTTAATTAGCTTTAACTGGGGACAGTGACATATCAAGGTGGTCTTACCTTTTTGAGGCAGGGATGTTACTCTAAGACTTGTGATTGCACTGGGTTATTACTATAGAGAGATTAAAAATAACAAAAGTGATTGCAACCACAGCAACAGTAGAAAAACTGATTTTTGAACTTGAGCATATCCAATAGGTAGAATAAAACATATTAGAATTCATGAAAAATTTGTTTTGCTTTTCTATCAATAAAAGAGTTTTCTTGCTAATGGGCCTTTTGGACACTACTTTCTTATTAACTTATAATGTAACAGGGTTATAAAATTTATTCTATTATACTTAGATACAATTTTCTAAAAGAAACTGTCATTTAAAAATTATATAACTCATCTGCTCTTCCTCACAAACCAAGTGCATCTCAGAAAAGGGATATGTATAAATTTTAGTACAAACCAGTAAACTGAATCCAGTTTGATAATTTCATAGCCCCTTTAGACAGCTGTTTAGGCTTTTGAGGGTATATGCTTAGGTTCTGATATTTCCTGTGCTTAAATTTCTCTAATATCACCAGGATTGTCAAGGAGGGATTCTGTTGATGTGATTTTATGCTACTTAGGGAGAAGGGAAGCCTCAGATACATAAATTACAACAACTCCTAGGTGAACCCTCCTGAGAAACAGGTGGTCAGGGCTGCTCCCTAGTCAGAGGTGTTATTGTCTGATTTAGCTTTTGTGCTGACCATTGCAATTTTAGATGGTGCRCCTTTGTCCTAAGTCTCAAAGTCACCATCCACAGGAATCTATGTACCCTGACCCTGTCATCCCTAGGTCTCCCAGTGCTCACATGTTGCCCCCTTTTTGAAGATACAGAAACGTCTGTGTGCCCTGCATACCCTGCACCCACCATTGAAAAGTGTGGGTTCTACCTCAGGATAGTGAATTGATTCACTATCTGCCACCTCAGCTCTCCTACTTCTGCATCATGTTAATGCCATGCAGGTAGAGTTCTTCTGAAGTCACATAGCCATACATGAATATTTTCGGTGTGTGTGTGCAGGATTGCCATTTTTTTTTCTCCAAAACTGACTATATATTTATCATACACCATCATAATGTGGAGAGAAGGAGCATGAAAACTTCATCACCACCTGCTTCATTTTTCTTTTCTGTCTTTTCTCAAAATTGTTCCAGACTGAAAAAAGCAGGTATTTCTCTTAAGGTCCACTTTTATCAATGTAAGACTCTTCCTACTCATGGATAGTTTTTCACTTCTGTAATGGACTTAGTTTCCTTCTTCCTGACATTGACCTTGTGATGAACTCTTAATGGCAGTTGAATAGGGTTTAAGAAACAGAAAGATAAGCTTACTGATAAGGCACTCTAAATTAGGACATACTTAAAAATATATCATGCCATCATAGCAAACTTTTGTTTTCCACAAAGCACATGTGCTCATGATTAGGGTCTTCCTTCCCTTTTCCCAAGGGCTTGTTTGTTATCTTGTATTCATGCCCCACTAACTTTAATCCCTGGCTAACTTTAATTCTGGCTACTGAATGAATCTTTTAAATCATGATTCTGTCTCCAAGAAGGGACAAATTTTTCCCATACAGGCTCATTACTTCATCCTAGTTTATGTGCAGAAAATTCTTGAGCTGAGATGAATTTCTAGTGGATATTGACTAGTGAAGTGGGGATGAGTAAATCTCTCTACCTAAAGGCAGTAGCCAATATAGATTAGAGATATAGCCCAATCTCTACCCAAGCTCCTCTTTACTCCCAGGAGGTGCACAGTCTTTAACCTCAGCTATTTGACTCAAAGATAAATATTAATTTAGCTAGCTCTCATAAACTGGCATGGATCAGTTCC